CAAAATTTTTCCCGCGCAAATTCATAACTCGGGGATCTAAGAAGCTAGAAGGCTGAAATCTTAGGGGAATGTTCCCCGTTCAAGCAGGTGCCCCAGCCCCCGGGTAAGCGTGGTACCTACGTACAGGCCCGTGAAAAGTTCCTTCCGAGTAAGTTACTGCCCCTGGGTAAGCGTGGTACCTACGTACAGGCCCGTGAAAAGTTCCTTCCGGGCAAGTTACTTACTCGAGAAACGTGGTACCTACCCGTCCAAGCAGATGCTAATGGGCTCAAATCCAGCCCCCGGGTAAGCGTGGTACCTACGTACAGGATCGTGAAAAGTTCCTTCCGGGTAAGTTACTGACTCGATAACGTGAGGAGCTAGAAGACTGGGGTGAAGGTTCCTTCCGGATAAGTTACTTACTCGAGAATGTGAGAAGCTAAAAGACTGCAATTTTGAACTAAGTGGGTATCAAAGAGTTCAAACTCGAGAACGTGAGAAGCTAGAAGACTGGAATTTTTAGGGGGTGTTTCCTAACAGTTCTGGCGGCCAGTCTGAAATTCTTTCAACTAGAAGCATCTGCCGAAAAAACCCTGACCGGTAGCAACAAAAACTGCGGGGAACTCTGCAAAAAACGCATCTTCGCACGGGCAGCCCGTGCGTTATGACAGTTTTGGCGGCCAGTCTGAAATTCTTTCTACTAGAAGCATCTGCCGAAAAAACCGATGCCGGCCAAAAAACTGCGGGGAACTCTGCAAAAAACGCATCTTCGCACGGGCAGCCCGTGCGTTGGCCATTTAACAAAAACTGCGGGGAACTCTGCAAAAAACGCATCTTCGCACGGGCAGCCCGTGCGCTGGCCAATTGAAAACTGCGGGGAACTCTGCAAAAAACGCATCTTCGCACGGGCAGCCCGTGCGTTGGCCAATTTTTGATGTTTGAAATGTGATAATTAAGCGGTACCTTGAATATTTGCTCATTCAAGTTTTCCTTTTAAAAATTTTAGGAAACATTTTGATCGACTTGCCAATTTTTCAAAATTATTTAAAAATTTTGAACGAGGTACTCCCAACTTTTTTGGAAAAGATCAATGGAAAGCGGTCTTGTATAAATATCTGAATGCTGCAGCTGAAAATTATCAGTTAAAACTTCCAGTTCTCTGCTACTTTATTTTCCGTAGGAGGTAGGAACACTGAAATACCTCGAGAAAATTGTCATCGGCAGTTTTACTAGTTGCAGCTACACGCGTATGACCTCTCTCGTCTGCTGGAGCTGCCTGAAGGGAGCCTGCCTTTCTGGCATCATTAATATACCAGCAGAATACAATCAGAATGAATTGCCGAATTAATTTGAATTCGTAGCATTATCCTGAACGGAGGCAACACTTGCTTTTGCATTGATTTTGCCAACCCGTTATTGTGAAAAAATAAAATTTGATTAGTAAAACTTATTTCTTTAAAAAGAAGGAAATTTTGGTATATTTTGCAAAGAAAGACGCATGCTGTTCATGTATTCTCATTAATTACGCTGGTAATGTAACTGATTAGTTGAAGGATATTCGAGGAGCAGCAGCAAATAAGTGGAATCAGCAGGCTGAACGGGGTCAGGAATCTGGAAGCTATCGACCTCCCTACAGTTACGGCTACATCCACTTGGCACAGGATGGCGCTGGTTTTGATCCAAAAACGTATGATTATGCAGAGGATACAAATAAACTTTACTGGAAGGAGCCAAACGTCAGTTGTCATTTTTAGCTTTTTATGCTTTATTGTAAGAATTCAGCTGAAAATTACAAGATAAAAGTGAAAGTGCTGATAAGTTTGCCGTTCGAGTTTGGCTGCATATGGCAACACTAGATTCAAACAGCCTGGAAGAAATTAGGCAGGGCAGCTAAATTACTGTTCCTTCAGTACTCGAAATAAATCGCTGGTGAATTCTACGCCGCCTCTGGGGAAAAAATTCACATTTAACTTATCGAGCGATAATGCTTTTTATAGGTAGAATAGGGTTTAGTGCTTCCAAGATTTGATTAGGGATTAGAATGAATACTGATTATTATTGTTTGTGCAATTATTAGAAGCAAAGCGAACAGGACTAAGTTTAGCAAAGGCATGCAGCAGTGAGACGACAGCGTTGGACATAAGCAGAGGATGAAACAGTGGGGGTTGGAGATGCTTGTCTGGGCTTTATTTTTTAAGTCTGTTGAGTAAACCGCATTAATCATACTAGTTCGCGGAGGAGGGGGGGGGGCGTGATTATGATAACTCAGTTGTTTTATTGAACGACCAGCAGTAAAATAATGGATATTTGTAGCACTCGTAGGACCGATAGATCTGACAGGGCTCCTAGATCCAAATTAATTTTTTCACAAGAATCTAGTTAACCGTGGTCATGCAAACGTTTTCAGTAAAAGTAGTGCTAAATTATTATTTGTAGAATTTCCAAAAATTAGTTGTTAAAGGGCAATAATTCATAACTAAAATTGCATGTATAGGATTTTTAGTTTATCATAAATTTGCCCACACGGCGGAATTATTTATGTGTGTGTGTGTGTGTTGTGTGCGCTGTCCGTTTGGGTGAATGGCCTGCGAAGCTACGATAGCTAATAAAAGAAGATACTTGTTCCTCGAAGTATGACAAGAACTGGCTTTCAAAACGCATTTTATGGAGCTGGTGACCTCATTCAGACCGGTCACAACTCAGCGGGGAAGCGAGCTGTGAAATGAAAAAAATTGTGCGTTTTAGTTTAAGTGGTAATTAAGCCAAAAGGATTGCATGTATTGACGCTAGCAGCAATTAACTGCAAAAACGCATTGCCACACCTGTTGTTTGGTGACTGCTGTCACATACTTTAGAAAAAAATTGTTTCAAAGTTCTTTTAGTGGTCCTCAATTATTTTAGACCCACGAATTTATCACTTTTAATGAATCATCCCAGTGCTAATGATTGCCCCCGTTTCTGGCTTACTGCCGTATCCCGGCTTCATCCAACCGCTCATTTACGATTATGCATGAAGTCGAGTACTAATATTAATAATGGTACTGGCAGTTGCTGGAGTACTGGCGTAGATGAGTCAGAAACTGAAGATCAGGAAGGGAGAGTGCAGAATCCTGCAAATCCGGAAACCGGATCAAGTAATGAGCATTCTGATGTGGTCGCTACAGTCTTTCTACCAAAATTACAGGACTTTGGAATACAGAGAGATGAATTTGGTGGGGAAGCGGCAGAAGGATTTATTCAGCCTTATGTTTATGGATATGTACTTTTGGAAAACCCACGGTTTGGAGCTGATGCCAGAAACAATAATTTGAAGTTGATTTAGAAGGAAAAGATTCTGGAAAACATATCTCGATTTCTGGGAACAGGTCCTTTCAACCAAAGAGCCTTGATCAGGCTGCTGATTTGAGTGCCGATGATAAGCGGGCCACGAGATTTTTAAAAACTTTATACAGCGGGAAACGAGAAGAAGATCATATTAATGAAGACTTTGAAAGTTATATTGGCAAAGAAGCATTGCTTAATGAATGTGCGCTTTTTAATGTAAATCCCGGTAATTCAGAGTTAACTCAGTGTCTGAATTTACTTGACCTTTTTGTTGCTGAATTGAAGGAAAAAATGAAGTTCGCTACAGACACTTTTGGTGGCGAAGTTAGTGATGGCAGTGAACTGAAAGCCATCTGTGCTTTTGAAACTCAAGGAAGTGAGATTCCTAAAAGAACTGAGGAATACCATCCAAATTCGAAAAGTGAAAGAACGAAAGCAGTATCGCAGTCATGCGGTTATCCACTGCTCCACAGCCGTCCGAGCATTGATTTAGCAGCAGACGTACACGAAGCAGAGACTCTATCAAGGTTGAGAGAGCGCGAAAATGCCGAGCGCGCTGAAGATTTTTCTCTCGGTGTAAGCGAAATCGTGTGCACATGCATGGAATGAATTTTTGAATGTTACTGCTGTGATGAAACTTCCATAACTTCATTTCCTTCCGATTTTTTTTTACTTTTCAGTTTTTCCAACTTTACCAAATCAAATTATTCGCCTAGGTTTTAGAATTCGCGTATATTCAGATCTGATTTCTTGAGATCTAATAATCTGTCACAACTGTTAACCAAGAAATGTGAGCGATGCAAGATTTTCGCTGGAAAAAATCAAATCAAGTCCCGCAGTAGGTGATGATAGACGATACGCATCATTTGTATGCTTACGCTTATCCTATCCACA